TGCTGAGATTACAGACATTTGTCACAAGACCTGGATACCTCTGGAAATATTAAAGGTCTGGACCATGATAAATGATTGTGTGAGGAGTACAATGTGAATTAAATGTCTGTTTGGTTTGCTACAACACAATGCCCTGGGCTGAGTGCCTCAGAAAGAAAATAAGTTTATTTCTCATAGTCTGGAGTCTGTGAAGTTCAAGATCAAGGTGCTGCTGGCTGTTGGGTGTCTGGTGAGGCCCACCCTCCTGGTTTATAGGTACAGTCTTGATAGTCTTTTTGCGTATAATCCACATGTAGAAGGGGGTGAAGGATATCTCTGGGATATTTCTTGTAAAAGGACTGATCCTATTCATAGAGTCCACACATTTCCCCAAATCCTCAACTTCAAATATCACCACATTCCAGGGTTAATTTCAAAATATGAACTTTCCAGTGTGTAGCTTGTCTGTGAGGGATGAGCAGTCTGCAGACACTGTCTCTCCTTTTGAATCTCACGGAATTTCCCAGGCACCTCATGCTGGGGGAAGAACAGCACTGAAGCCTGGATCTTGGGAGGCTGAGACTGGGTGATTGTTGAGCAATCAAGGCCAATGAGGCTACAGCGTGAGGTCCAGGCCAGCCTTGGGTAAAGACTGAGAGTCTTATCCCAACAAATAAACAATGAACTATTTATTGGCCTTGTGGCTAAGATCCAGTGTAGTGTCTGTTCTCAGTTTAATGTGGTTTCAACGTGAACAGGAGGTGATCAGTTACAGAGCAGATGGAGGAGTGAGGAGGGGCTTCCACTGAGGAGGGGTTAGAACTGAGAGGGGCACTATCTGCTGATACTCCTGTTATTTTAAAAAATATTCATTATTTGCATGTGTATGAGTGTATTGCCAGCATGTATATAAGTGTATCTGTGTTGTGCAATGCATGGAGGTCAGAAGAGGGCATCAGATTCGCCTCTGGAGTTACAATGGTTACTAGACACTGTGTGAGTGCTGGAAACCAAACCTGGGTTCTCTGCAAGAGCAGCCAGTGCTCTTAACTGCTGAGCATCTCTCCAGCCCCACTTTTGTACTTTAAGACAAGGTGTTCCTATAACATCAGACTGGTCCTAATCAAGATAATCTCCTGCCTCAGCCACCACAGTGCTGGGATTATAAGCATGAGTCACCAAGGCCACTGCAGGTTCTGACATTTTAAGGCTTTTGCCTTTTCCTCCATCCCTGCCACCTTCTTGTGTGATGCTAGAGGACTGAACATAGTGTCTCATACATACAAGGCAAGTGCTGTGTTACTGAAGTACATCCAAACCTCACTGTACTTTTCATTTTGAGACAATGTCTCACTAAGTTTCTGAGGCTAGCCCCAAACTTGTGATCTTCTTGCC